CCCTGCTCCCTGCAGCACAGCGCCCCCTGCTGAGCCCCCCGCCCTGCTCCCTGCAGCACAGCGCCCCCTGCTGAGCCCCTCGCCCTGCCCCGCTCCTTGCAGCACAGCGCCCCCTGCTGAGTCCCCGCCCTGCTCCCTGCAGCACAGTGCCCCCTGCTGAGCCCCTCGCTCTGCCCTGCTCCCCATGGCACAGCACCGCAGTGGGGTCAGTCAGTAATGACTGCAAGGAGGGAGTGCCCCCTATTGAGCTCCCCGCTCTGCTCCCTGCAGTACAGCGCCCCCTATTGAGGCCCACCCTGCAGCACAGCGGTGGAGGTTTTAGGGAGGGATGTGATGGGGGTTAAGTCCTGGGAGCAGCTGTCCCAGATGGCTGTGGGGATGGAGGTACGGGCTGCTCCAGACCTTGCTGGGCCCTGCGTCTAACCCCACAGGGGTCCTGATAGTGAAGTTGTGTCACTGCCAGTGCTTAATTTGTGCCAGGGCTGAGCCCCGGCACTTTTAGGTGTGGCAGTTCATAGCCCCGCACCCTGGGCCTGCTGCATCAGTTATGAATGTAAAGAAATTGCTTGAGCCCAGCACCTTCTTCGTTACAAATTAAGCACTGGCCACTACCCCCTGCCCTCCCCGCCCATTAACACCCTTCTGTGCCCTGCCCCAGGGCCACACAATGGCCCATCCAGCCCAGTACCCCCCAGAGGTGTGCTGGGGGGAGCTCACTGTGGTGCCCCCCCTTCCTTTCTGTGCTGGGGGTCAGGGGTTTGCATTGAACTCCAGCACCCCACAGCTAAGTGACCTTTCCTCCCTGAACATGCGGCACATCCCATAATACTTTGTGTGCTGAGGGGGGCCCTGCCCCATTCCCTTGCTACCCCCACTTGAGCACTTGGGAATCATAGATTCCCCTCCCCCCCCAGCAGTGAAGGGTAAACTGAGGCAAGGGGGTCAAACAAACAGCTTGCACAGTGGTATGCAGGGAATCTGCAGGGGAGACAGGAACAGAACCCAGGTGTCCTGAGCCCCAGCCCGGGGTCCCCACTCACCTGACAGGGACTGGCCCCTGAGGGGGCTTGGCTGCATGGGAGAGCCCACATGTGTCTGCACATTGCTTTGCTGGGTTTCCTCAACCAAGCTCCTAGCAGAGGTGGTCCTCCCACCCCCCGCGTAAGCCTCCCCATAGCAGTAAGCAGCCCTCTTGCCACCAGGGAGCGCAGGGGCTGAATGGTTCCCCGGACTCGAGACAGAGTGCTGGGGGATTCCTGTGTGGAAGGAGGGGCAGGGGCACTGGAACAATTTATATAGTGGGGGTGCTGAGAGTCATTGAACCAAACTGTAACCCTAGATAGGATGGAAGCCACTTCAAGTCAGGGGATGTGGCAGCACCTCCAGCATCCCTAGTTCCAGCACCTATGGGGAAGGCGGGGAGCTCACCTAGCCAGGGCTCCTGTCTCAATAGGAGTGAATTGCTCTGGCTGTCCCCTGATCCTGCCCTTCCCCAGGCTCAGAACCCAGGTGACTGGGATCAGGGGACCCAGGCAATCGGGGGACACAGGTGACTGGGATCGGGGGACCCAGGTAATTGGGAAATCCAGGTTAGTGGGTTCAGGGGACCCAGGTAATTGAGGGACCCAGGTGATTGGGGGACTCAGGCGATCGGGGATTGTGGTCCCTGACCCCTCGGAGCAGCAGGGAAAGTTCCTCCAGTGCATTCTCCCCCCCCCCCGCTGGAAACCATCCCGTTGCCCCGGCGACCGGCGCCCAGGCGGCCAATGGTGGGCGGGTCTTGCACTGGTTTCTCGCCCTCCTGTTCTGGGCAGGTGCTGGGCGCGGGGGAAATGGAGGGGATGGAGTTTGTAGCTGTGCAAAGCCACTGCACCTCAATCCTGACCCACAGACCCCCCCACTCTGCCACACCTCAATCCCACCCACAGCCCCACAGCTGTGCCAGTGCACCTCAATCCCGACCTGCAGCCCCCAGCTCTGCCGATGCCCCTCAATCCCAACCCACAGCCCTCCGTCTCTGCTGGTGCACCTCAGTCCTGACCCGCAGCCCCCCAGCTCTGCCAGTGCACCTCAATCCCGACTCACTGTCCCCCAGCTCTGCCACTGCCCCTCAATCCCGACCTGAAGCCCCCAGCTCTGCCGGTGCCCCTCAATCCCAACCTGCAGCCCCCCAGCTCTGGCAGTGCCCTTCAGTCACAATCCAAAGCCCCCCAGCTCTGCCAGTGCTCCTCAATCCTGACCCACAGCCCCCCGTTCTGCCGGTGCCCCTCAATCCCAATCCCCTGCTATTCCAGCCCTGGGCTTCCCTCCTCCCCCCTCCAGCACACACTGACCCCTAATCTCCCCCACTGTGCCTGTCACCAATTTATGTTTGTCCCAGCACAAGCTGGAGTGTTGGACCCTGTCTAGGGCCTGGTGTGTGCGGCAAATTTGTAGGGTCTCAGCTTCATTCTGTGTGGGGCAGGCACCCAGCCACAGAGAGCAGCAGCTAAATGGCCCAGCCAGCCACCTCGTTACCCCATCCCTTGCTCCCTGCTCCCTCAGCTGGCCTGGCAGGCTGTTCCTAGGGCTCAGGTTATGGGGGGAGGGTGCTGAAGCAGAATCCCTCCCCTGCCAGGCAGAGGAGCCGCGTGTGAGGGTTGCTAGGCAACCCCGACAGGCGCCTGTAGCCTTCATTGTTGCTTTGACAGGTACCAAGTGCAGCTCAGATCTGACTGTGGCTGGAGAGGAGCCCAGGGCTGGGTTAGCAGGGGGCTGCGGGTTGGGATTGGGGGGCTCCAGCAGAGCTGTGGGGGTGGGGGAGAGCCCAGGGCTGGGTTAGCAGGGGGCTGCGGGTCAGGACTGGGGGCACCAGCAGAGCTGTGGGGGTCAGCGGAGCGCAGGGCTGGGTTAGCAGGGGGACCTGCTTTGAGCAGGGGGTTGGACCTGATGACCTCCTGAGGTACCTTCCAACCCTGATATTCTATGATTCTATGTGGGTGAGGATTGGGGGCACCAGCAAAGCTGTGGGGGAGAGCCCAGGGCTGGGTTAGCAGGGGACTGTGGGTCAGGATTGGGGGCACCAGCAGAGCTGTGGAGGTCAGTGGAGCCCAGGGCTGGGCTTGCAGGGGGATGTGGGTCAGGATTGAAGGACACCAGCAGAGCAGAGCTGTGTGTCTCAGCCCATCACGTTGGTGGGTCTCTGCTCTGAGAGCCCAGAAACTGGTGACGGGAGTGGCTGCGGCTGGGGCGGATGTGAGGGAGCCAGGACGCGCTGGGTGCTGGTTATTGGGCCTGAGTGTGATGGACCTGGTGGGGGAACGGGCAAACTCACGGGAGGGGGCTCTGGAAGGGGGAAGGGAATCCCCCAGAAAACACCTGCTGGAGACCACGGCAGCAGGACTGAGCTCAGGCTAGTGACAGAAATCTCCATTTGGCGAGGCCGGGAATGGGACATTTCCCCTCTGGGGGAGTATCGGCTCTGAGCCAGGCGGGGGGCTTGCTACGGGGACCGCCCCCCACTGTCTCACACCGGATCTCTCCCAGCCCCCGGAGGATGGGGAGGCGGTGGCTGAGTCACCCCATTTGGCTGGGGCTCTGGGGCTGGCTGTTCCGGAACCGGCTGTGCTGGCAAGAGCCCAGGCAGAGCCATGTGGAGTCGGGGGAGGGAACTGGACCCCAAAGGAAACTGGGTCCCTCCACATCCTGCTGGGAGCTAACTTCCCTGGTAACGCTTGGGGGAGGATAGATCCAGCTATTCAGGGGGCAGGTGAGTTCACGGGGGCTGGGAGCCAGGCGTCCAGGTTCCATCCCAGCTCTGTCAGGGAGTAGGGTCTAGTGGTTAGAACAGGGGGGAGGGGCTGGGAGCCAGGACGCCTGGGTTCCATCCCAGCTCTGTCAGGGGAGTAGGGTCTAGTGGTTAGAACGGGGAGGGGCTAGGAGCCAGGACTCCAGGTTCCATCCCAGCTCTGTCAGGGGAGTAAAGTCTAGTGGTTAGAACGGGGGGGAGGGGCTGGAAGCCAGGACGCCTGGGTTCCATCCCAGCTCTGGCAGGGAAGTAGGGTCTAGTGGTTAGAATGGGTTGGAGGGGGGGCTAGGAGCCAGGGTTCCAGGTTCCATCCCAGCTCTGTCAGGGGAGTAGGGTCTAGTGGTTAGAGCGGAGGGGCTGGGAGCCAGACTCCTGCTCTGATCATTGATATTTTTATTATTGATATGGAAGTGCAAAGTGGCTGAGACTGTTGAATTCCTGTCGGCTTTGTCAACTCTGGGGAGTTTATCAAGCAGTGACTGTTAGCAGTAGGGTCCGTCTATTCCTCCCCACCTCCTGTATCCACGAGCCAGCCAGTCCCCTGGCCCTGGGGCTGGATTGGAGCCAGCGCCCCAGAGAGGGGAAGGCCCCATGTCCCATTCTCTGTTCTGGGGCCAGAGAGGAAGGGTGACAGAATGGGGAGCTGAGAAGGTGTGTGTGTGGGGAGGTATCTGGCTGAGTGCCCCAGTGGGTGGGACTGGCAGATGCTCCTCTCTGGCTTCATCAGCCCGCAGTAGGGGTCGCCCTGTACAAATCAGCAGGATGGGGTCTGATTTGCATATGTAAATAAGATTGTTTGGGTTGGGCCAGACACTGCACGGGTGATCATGTTCTCAGGCAGCCCCACCATGGGCTTGTGTGACCCCCTATAGCCTGCTTCCCATGGGGGGGCCCCTCCTGGGAACTCCCTACCCTTCTCTCAATGAATGGGTGAGCCCCCATGGGAATGGGGGGATGGATCCCTGTATAAACAACCCCTGCACCCCACCCCAGAGGCAGCTGCATCTCAGCACTGGGTGAGAGATGCCTGGATACACTGCCCTCATGTCCCACCCCAGACTCAGCCGGGTCCCAGGGCTGGGCCAGGAGGATCTGTCTCTCTCTGCAGCTGTCTCTGACCCTGCTCTCCCCCCACAGATCATCGCTTTTGACGAGCTGCACACAGACTTCAAGAGTCCCATTGACCAGGGGAACCCGGCGAGGGCAGTAAGTCAATAGATGTGGTGGGAGAGGTGTGTCTGTCTCTGTGTCCGTCTGTCTCTGACCCTCTCCCTGACCCACTGCCACTGCTCCCCCCCACCCCACCTTCACGATGTCACCCATGTCATTCCTATTTTTCTTAAATGTGGTGTCCGCTCAACTGTCCTCTGCCATGCATGAGTGATGGTGGCATGAGGGGTGCAGCGCTCCCAGACTCCTGGGTTCTATCCAAGCTCAGGGAGGGGAGGGGAGTCCAGTGAGTTAGAGTGGGGGGGCTGGCAGCCAGGACTCCTGGGTTCTCTCCCACTGGCTGTGCTGCGCTGAAGTTTGTGTCACTCAAATGTTTTTTCGGAAGGTCCCAAAGTTCCCATCAGCACCTGGGGCAGGTCCCCCGGGGGTGTCAACATCACTCTGGGGCTGGAATTTCAAAGGGCTCCATGGCTCGGCACCAACCCACCCCTTCCCCAGTGTCCCACTCCCTGCTTCTCTCCTCATCACACCCCTGGCCCAACCCCACTGCTTGCTGCTTTTTAATCTCTCTTTGCCTAGTTTGATCCAGCTGCATCACTGCTGGTGCCCCTCCATCCCAACCCACATCCCCACTAGCCCTGCCCTGGGCTCGCACTCAGCTCTGCCGATGCCCCTCACTCCTGACCTGGAGCAGCCCTGGGTCCTGTTCCCTCCAAGCTCATCAGTCCCAGCCCCCAACCCCCTGCTAACCCAGCAGCCCCCATTCAGATGGGGGTCAAGGTGTGGGTGGGTTCTGGGGGCTGGCTGTGCTCAGACATGGGGGTCGAGGAGCTGTAATTAAAGGTGCTGCTGACAGTCACTAACGACTGCCCCCCCCGGGGGTTTGAGGGGTGTGTGTGTGTGAATAGCACCCTGGGGCCTTGAGAGGGGAAGGGTCTTGCCAGTCAGTGAGTCAGGGGCGGCCTGAGGAAAAAACCCCACTCCTGCCCCAGAACCAGGGATAAAACCCAGGAGTCCTGACTCTCCCTCTCCCTCCTGCTCACACCCCCTACACCAGCGTTTCTCAACCCCGGGGGCCGAGACCCAAAATTGGGTCGCAGAATGTTCCAAAGGGTCGCATGGCAGCTCCTGTCCCAGGGGGCTGGCTGGGCTCTCCCTGCTCCATGCACTGCAATCTCTGGGGTCCCAGCACCACTCAGGTTTGGCCCAGCTGTCCAGATAGGCCAAATCTGAGTGAGTGGCGGCCCTGTAACCCCATGAGCCAGGTCACAACGCCACCCACCCACATTTGGTCCAGTCAGGGGGGCGGGGCCAAACCTGAGCAGGGCTGCAACCCCCAGAGGTTGCAATGCCTGGAACGGAGAGCCAAGCCCAGCCAGCACCAGAGCTGCCGCTGTGGGGTGAGTGCCGGGCAGTGCCCTCAAGATTCGACCGAAACCACACCAAGGCCTCCACCCCCAGACTATTTAGTGAGTCACGATAGGCCATAAACATTTACAAATGGGTCCTGAGCCCAAAAAGGCTGAGAACCACTGCACTAGACCCCCTCCCCTCCCAGAGCGGGGGCTAGAACCAAGGTGTCCTGGTGGGTGGCGAGCCCTGTGTGCTGCCTGCGTGGCAGTTGCAGTAACAGAGTTGCTGGGAGAGGAATTCAGGTCACACTGAACTGTTTATATTTAGGGAAATGGAGTGGGAGCGATGGCCCCAGCTGCAGCCCCTGGCTTGGGGGTGGGGGGGAGGCTGAGGTTGCTGGGATTGACTCTGCCCAGCCCAGGCACAGTGGAGGGGACAGCTGGGTCAGGCGGAGGAATAACTCCTCACAGGGCGGAGTGCTCCCTGTCTGCACAGCCCAGAGCCCTGGAGTCAACCACCTCCCTGCTCGCACACAGCATCTGCCTGACTGATGGGAAACTGAGGCACAGATGGGGGCGGGACTGGATCAGGGTCATGCAATGAGTAGGGATGAGAAAGGGAAATAGAACCCAGGAGTCCTGGCTCCCAGTCCCCCTGCTCTAATCCTAGACCCACTCTCACTCCAGATCTGGGGATAGAACCCAGGTGTCCTGGTTCCCAGCCTCCCCTTCCCCACTAGATCCCACTCTCACCCAAATTCTATTCATTGACATTTCAGTACTGGAGTAACCTCATTTCATATCTGATACCAGAATCCAGCCCCGACCCCAGTGCAGTCAGAGGTGACTCCGGATATACCCTGTGGGAGCTGACACCAGAATCTGGCCCCGACCCCAGTGCAGTCTGGGGTGACTCCAGATACAACTTGTGGGAGATGACACCAAGATTTAGTCCTCACCCCAGTGCAGTCAGGGGTGACTTCGGATACACTCTGTGGGAGCTGACACCAGAATCTGGCTCTGACCCCAAGTGCAGTCAGTGGGGGACTTTGGATATACCTTGTGGGAGCTGACACCAGAATCCGGCCCTGATGTCAGTGCAGTCAGGGGTGACTCTGAATTTATCCCAGGTAACCAACATCAGACTCTGGCCCACACTCCATCGCAGTCAGATGGTGACTTTGGATTTACTGAGGCTCTCAGCTCAGAATCTGTCCCTAGCCCCATTGCACTTGGTGACTCTGGATCAGTGCTGAATGTGTGCCAGGGTGGAGCCCCCAGCACCTCTGGGCTTGGCAGTGCCTAGCCCCAGCACCTCTGGGCTTG